GTGTCTTAATCAGCATAGAGGTGAGTTCTTTATTTTCCATGATATTACTTGTTAAAGATCATTTTCCTAATCTTAAGTTTCCTGAATGCATGTAATTGCTGTGCTCAGGGTAACTGTGGAAGACATTATGGTAAATGCAGCCTAAGAAAATTTCGTACCTTGTTGTATCCATTCCAATCCATGGAACATAATAGCTGAAAAATGCATTTTATTTAGGCTTAGGTCCATGTGTCAATTAAAAACTAAATCTTTAGTTGTTAGTAGTAGGTGGTCTTGTTCCATACATACTCTTATCATTGTACTATATTTCCAATGTAGGACAGGGGTATCCAGCACTGTAGATTCATTGAATTCTTGTCAAGACTGAATCATTCAAGATGTCATGCTCACTCTTCTGTTTGCCAAAGCTTTTTAACACAAATCCTTGTGGGCAAACAAAACTGAATGTTATTGTCATCATGAAGTTCCTCCTATCTCAGACTGCTAGGATTTCCTGTGCTTTATATTCACTGCCTTCTTATAAATCACTTCTCAAAACTTTCGAGTTTCATTTTAAACTCCTGCATGGTCTTTTCACTTGCAAAGTAATAGTAATGGAAAACACACAAGCTAATCTTCCGAGATTCTAGATATTCTTAAGGGAGCTGACTGCATCGAGTGTTTTTTACACAAGCAAATGAAGACACAATTGTTGTTCTGAGTAGCAGGATCTGCCTTCTTATTAGTGCCCTGACTTCTAAAATCTGCATCCTTGGACTAGCAGAACATTATGTTGACTCATATCTATTTTTCATTTTTTGAGGGATCGATATTTTTTTCTTGATTCATTTTCTCATTCAGAATGCAGCTTACCTTGCAACGGGGCAGGGCTTGAGCGTAACTGATGCAGTGTTTAGTGCTTTGAGCAAAGCTGGATATGATAAACTGACAACTCCAAAAGTTATGATACAGTCCAGGGACAGTTCTGTTCTAAGGAAGGTCAACAGTGCAGGCACTTATGAGCTTGTGTACAGGATTGATGAAAGTATTCGGGATGCTCTCAATGCCACAGTTGAGGACATCAAAAGCTTTGCTCATTCTGTAGTTGTTGATAGTACCTCAGTGTTTCCTGTAAATGATGCGGACTTCCTCACCGGTACAACAAATGTTGTAACCAAGCTACAATCCTTCAAGCTTCTTGTTTATGTAGAAACTTTCAGCAATGAATTCACATCTCAACCATGGGACTTCTACTCAGATGCAACAGTTCAGATCAACACATTTTACAGGGGAACTGGTATCAATGGTGTTGTCACAGACTTCCCAAAGACATCTGCTCGATATAGAAGTAAGTAGATGCTTACTGATTCTTAATATCCTTAAATAATGCCAAAAGCTGGGTATCTGAACGAAGTTCTATTACTCCTACTCTCCCATGCAAACATGCTTTTTTCCTCATCATAAGGAAAACTCTGTACTACTGCGCCATTTTTGTAGTATAGACTAATGTTTTGGAACATACATGTAATTTAATACGCTGTTGACGCGACAATCCTTGCCAGGGAACAGATGCTTAGCAAGGGGTAAAGAGACGCCTAGCTACATGACCCCTGTTCTGCCTGGTTTCTTCATGGGACTCATCATGGCACCTGCTTTATTGCCACCGGCTGAAGCCCCGTCCCCTGTACTGACAGAACAGGATGTAGTAGAGCCACCTTTGCCCGATGCTGTAGCAAAATCCCCTTCTACCAGTCCGGGTAGATCTCCATCAACCTCACCACCACCAAATGAGCAACCTAAAGTCACCGCTTGCGTCTTCGTCTCAAATCTGGCCATGCTTCTCGCCGTTCTCTTGCTGTTTTAATACTGGAGAGGGGAGAGTCACCTACTAAAATCCAAGAACC